AAAATTACAAACATTAAAATTAGTATCATGCTTTCCAACACACCTAACATTGAAATAATTGTACTAAATATTTGAAAAAAAATTAGAAGCAGTAATGGATCTAGTTATTCTTGTATCCGATGATAAGGCATGATGTTTTTTTCCTATTATTTTTCTTTTTCCTCTTAGAAGTTTCCCATAATTCATCATCTTTAGCTACATTAACTAAGTTGAGGTCCCCAAAATTTTCAATGTCATTATAAGAATAATCCTCTCATTAGTAGAATTAATCTCACCCTCCTCCCAATTAGAAAAAGAATTAGCTGAAGTGGTAAGACCTTCATAGACCTCACTTGAATCCTTTTTAAACACTTGCTTGCCTTTATCTCCCCCATTTGGTTTATTCAAAGAATCATCAAGAGATTGAACATTTAATAGAGTAATATTATTAGGAAACATTTTAAACATCTAAGGACACCGAAACATCAACATTAGAACATTCCCCAACATTTAAGGGATTGCATTCATCTCCAATTTGGGACATGATAAGATTTTAAATTTTAATGAAAGCACTATTATCAGTTTGCTTTGAAGAAGAAGAAGAAGAAGGGTTGGAATTAACAACATTGGGAATATTATTATTGACTAGATTAGTGACATTGTTACTCACATTAATCACACCAAAATGTTGGGAAGCAGGAATACAATTAACATTATCCTTGAAAATTCTAGATTTGATAGGTGCACTCTTTCTTAGATGAAGATGAAAACAATTCATTTTTTACTATTACTCAAAAAGTTTCAATTATCATAGAAAGTAGGAAAATAATTCATAATAACTTTTCAAATATAACCAAATTTTTTAGTCCTAAGCCATACACAGTTTGAATATTTCTTAGTGATGTCTAGTTCAATAGAACTCTTGTGATAGAGGGTCAATAACCAATTACTGTCGCATTACCCAGTTGTAATGGATGATAAAAAAGAGATCCCAAAACATATATGATTTTAGGAGGAAAAAAATGAGGACTAATATTTGAAATAAAATCCAAATATAAACAATCATAGATTTCATAGAATTATCAAAAAGAGGGTTCCATTAATTAGAGTCATATAGCTCTTGTTGACATAGTTAGATCGCTTTCCAAAGACAAGACTAAAATCCAAATCATTCTCAGGGTATATAAAGATATTTTGTAAGGATTAAATTCATTAAATTAATTAAGATTTTTTTTATCATCTCTAAAAAGGTGTTGAATGTGCTCTTTCTTATTTTCTCACTTATAAACTTGCTAAAATAACAAACCAAAAAATTCTCAAGTATACAAGTTTACTTGGTCCTTTTTCGATATTAAGAAGACCTTTCATTGATTTTTATTTGGATTACTAGAAACTCCTTATAGGTATTATAATATATTTATAGCTTTTGAAAAGTTCTCCAAAATTATTTAGTTTTTGCCATGTTCAAAATCAGATGATGCCTCCTATTTGCCAAACTTTTCTTCAATGAAATTGTTATTGATAATAGTTTCAAATGGGATTTTTTTTTCAGTTTTTTAAAAAAGATTATTGGAAATTTTAGAACACAATTTAATTTTTATCTATATTTTACCTCAGAATAGATTGTCTAATATAAGTTCTTAAAATTTTTATTAGCTACCTTGATATAATGTTTAGTTGGAAAGGATATTGTCACTTTGGACTTTAAACAACCTACTTTATGTTTTTGTATAATTATATTACTTCTAGAGAAACTCAAAAAACACCTTTCAATCATTGTTATGATTATAACCTAAATAAATCAATAGATATGATGGATATTTTCCATCATTTATTATCAAAGGTTGCATTGACCTTTACACAAACAAGTGTTTACTCAAATATAATTATCTGGTAAAAAATATGGAAATACTATTAATTTTAAATTCCCTTCTAAGAAAAATAATGAAGGCAATTATGTCTTACATTATATTCATCCTAATATTATCCCACCAAATATACCTAGTAAGCATCATGCTCAACCTAGTGGCTCATTAAAAATTCTTAAGAAACATAAATCAAATACTTATTTCCATAATTTTCCTTATTTAAATAAGTCCTATTTTGAAGATTGTGGATACTGTTGTCATATCATAGAGTTATTAAGATTCATGATTCGTAAGATAACCACATTATAAGAGAAATAATTCTAATTTTGCAAGTTTCAAATACCCCAAAACTCTTAAAAATTGATAGCATAATCTTAAAAGAAATCTCTCTAAGAACATTCACATCACCCAAATAATTAATCATATGAAAAAATAACCTCCTTTTTAGAGCACTTGAATGACTAAAGATTATTCTGGCCTTTTAGATGATTTTGTGCATTTTAATTTTGTAGAGTAGAGTTATTTAAAGTCCATGGAGTTTATATAATACAAAGTTAATTGCTAAGGTAAAAGTTAGAAAGTAATATACTACACAAAGATTTAGGTTATTCATCATAAACAACCCTCTAGGACAACTTATGGATGGCCATAATCTCATTAAAAATTCTATAGAATAATTAAGTAGATTAATTTATGGCCCCTTGATGGATATGTTTGTTATGATAGGAAAATGATTTAGAAGATTTATTTAATGTCCTAATACGTGTAGGTGGGCCATACAAGTTTAGGAAGCAAAACTCTTGAGAAGTTGCTTGATTTTGGAATCAATCAAGATGGCTTATTTGACAATTCAAAAGTTTATTTTTTTTGAAAGCATTAAAATTTTAATTTTCATTATAATCTCAATTATTTTTAGGACATGTTATTAGACCATGCAATAGTATTTTATTGTCTCGTATGGATTTTTAAAGTTTTCTAAATACGAAAAATATATATAAATATAACCTTGCTTTAAACTTTTAGATTTTTTGAATATAAATTTATTTTTATTTTTCAAATTTTATGTGAAAATACTAAGTGGCTACTTTACTCTCTAGTGAAGCTTGGTGGATGATTTCCTATGGTTTGAATGAATCCATAATAATTGTTTCTCCATATATTCCTCTTATTCCCGCATATAATTCTCACCTTCTACATATAGCCTCAATCTTGGCATCTCATAAACCTATAAATATTCAATCTTTTTTAGGCTCTCACAGACATTCTCCCACATCCCTCTTATGGCCTTAACTCCTCAATAACCATAAGACACCAAAGCTAAAATCCCCATATAGAGAGATAATTTTTACTTTTGAGCATCTAAATTGAAATATTATAAATATTTAGTAGCTAATCTAAATTCCAATAAAACTCTAATATATTCTCCTTAATATCACATAACATTGTTATGGAGTTATGCTCCTTTCCTTCCAATGAAAAATTAATTTTTGACTATCTATAAGTTTTATGACTGAACATTTCCAACTTAAAATAGCCATTTCACAATTCCCAAAATTAACCTTTCACTAGAACTATAATTTTTTTTTTAAGAATTCAAATTGCATTAAATAAGAAAAAATAAAATTATTATATACAATTAAGTGAAAACCAACTATGACATAAAGGAGAAGGAATGCTATCAAAAGAAAATATATCAAAGAAAAAACTATTATCTAAAGCCAAAGTAGCACACATGTCGGCTACCTTATTACATTCTCTTGAAGTATGGTGGAAAATAACTTTGTTGAAGTCAATAAGAAAAGATAGCTTCTTTGAAATCAAATTGTATGATTACAACGTTGATTTCTTCATAAAATTTTGCTCCTTTGCTTACAAACATCCAATGAATTTTATTTTTACCAAATGCCAGAAGAAATCTACCTTTATGGTCTCTAATAATGCCCCCAATGTTTGCAAGATTCGAATTCAACAAGGATGCATCAATATTTATCTTAATCTAATATAGAGGTAGAGGGTGCCAAATACCTTTGAACTCCATATGGACAGTAGCACCCCAGTCATCTAGAATTGTATATTTAGACATTGATGTAGATAATACATTAGCAGCAACCACCGAAGTTGGAGAAGAATCTTTGCCATGTTTAACGTCATTTCAACATTTCCAAACAAAAAATACAGCTGTACAATACACTTTCATAATATTCACATGATTTTTGGCCAAGTTGTCTTCCAATTTTCCTTTTCAAAGAAGATCTAACAGTTTTCCCAAAGATAATTTGAGATTTATCTTTGTTGATACTTTGACCCATCCACCCACAATAATTATTAACTATTCCCTTCATAGTTTCAATCAAATGAGGAGATGTTGTCCCAAACAATAACACATCGTCGGCATATAACAAATGAGTGATTTTTCGAGCTCTTAGAGAAATAAGAATTCCCAATTCCTATCCTCTTTGATTAATTGTGTTTGATAAAATCTGAGAACATATAATAAAAAGAAATGGTGACATAGGACAACCTTGTCGAAATCCACTGTTGGCTTTAATCCATCTAGTACTCTTCCCATTCAACAAGATAGAGAATCTTACAATAACTACACATTCCATAATAAGATTAGAAATCTTATTTGTAAACGCAAACCACTTTAGTACATTTTTCAATGTCTCCCAACCCATGCTATCAAAGGCTTGCTCCATATCCAACTTAACCGCCATCAAACCTTTCTTATTTTTGGAGATTCTGAAATTATTGAAGATTTCATGGGCTAACAAACAATGATCAGACATTGATCTTCCCAGAATGAAAGCTACTTGTTCTTCTGAAGTAATCTTGGAAATACAACACTTCAATCTATTTACAATCATAGTAGTAGTAACCTTGTAAATAGTTTGACAAAGGCTAATAGAACAAAATTATTTGGACTAACCTCATTCTTCAGTTTTGGAATGAGAAAAATCGTTGTGTCCTTCCATGCTTTATTCATGAAACCAATTTTAAAAACTCATCAATTGCATTCCAAGTTGCACCTTTCACAATTTTCAAATAGAATTTAAAAAAAGAAGAAGTACTTCCCCTATAAGGCCATTTTGTCAAATTGCAATCTCTATTACACCATTTGTTCTCAAAAAATTTCAGGAAAATTATTTCAATCTAGTCTAAATCTTCTTCCATATTATTGATTTCATCCTTTATTTGTCTAATAAGCTTTCCATTTCTTCTAGTGAAGGCATAATCATGAAAAAATTTAGAATTTGTGTCCCCCTCTTCATTCCAACTAGCCTTTGCCCTTTGATACCACCATGTAAATAATCTGCTCAATGTCACATTAAGTTCATGAACTTTGGATCGAAGTAAGTTCATCTTTTCATAGCATAGTCCACCTTCCAAATCTTCCTCCAATTGTAGTTTAAAAATGTCCTCCTTCAGTTCATCCTTAAGCAAACATAAGCTTTTGCATTCGTTCTTGTTCCAATAATATAAGGCCTTCATAGTTCTATGAATTTTCCTGTTGAGGATATCCGATGCATCTCCAAAGTCATTCTTTTCCCAAGCTTTAGTAACAATGCTCCAAGTTGCTGGATAGGACTTCCAAGTATCTTCAAATCTAAATAATTTATGTTGGAACTGAGGTACTTCATCAAAACTAAACACAATGGGATAATGATCAGAAGCTACCCTTGCAAGATGTCTGATCATTTCCATTGGAACCATCTGCATCACTGCTGAATTTTAGAAAACATCTATCAAGTCTCTCTCATATCCTAGTAGCTCCTTGTATGTTATTGCACTAAGTAAACCTTGGTCCAATAACCCCCACATCATGAAAGTCATTCTTTGCCATGAAAAACTTCATCTCCTTTGGACCTTGAGACATACTAAATCTTTTTCCACCTCTTTTATCCTCCTTAGACAAAAGAAAATGAAAGTCCCCACCTACTATAGTAGGCAAACTATCATCTACAATCTTCTTAAGACTTTCCCAAAGCCTCCTCCTAGCAGGAACCTCCTTGTTCCCAAATACAGTAGAAACGTTCCAACTACCTTTGATGCAAGTTTGGAGAACTCCAAACACTAACTGAGAAGAATGTTCTACCACATTGAAAGTCACAAAATTCCTATTCCAAAGAACAAGAATACCTCTGGAGGTACCCTCAGCCAGATGGTGAAAGAAATCCCAATCACTCTCATTAATTATATTAACATCACCTCTATAAATACTAACCAACTTCGTTTCAGATAACCCAACAAAAAAAAAAAAAGAATTATCTTTTACAATCTCCCTAAGATAAAGAAAGGCTTCCTTCTTTTTGGCCCCCCAACAATTCCAAAACATAAAAGAAGACATTAATTGCTTAAAGGGGAAGAGTCCCCACCTATCTTCTTTACATTTCCTTCACCTCTTCATTTTCTAGGAACTTGCTCAATAGGCCCTAAAAACTTCAACTGAACTTTTGACTACTCTTTAGCCGAGTTTTGACTTAGCATTCCATTGTCCACCTTCTCTAATTTATCTTCAGAATTAAAATTACCATCTTCATTGATCTTTGAAACCTAAATTGGTGTAATACTAGAATCCTTGCATTTTGAAGAGTCTTCTTTGTATTTGGGCTCAACAGCCATTCCATTTTCCTTACTCAATTATGTAACATTTTATGGGACATTCGGTATAATAGTATCTTCTTTTTCTTCAGCTAACAAATCAAAACTGTTAGCATAAAAAACTACATGATTCAACATATTCCCAACCTCCTTATTCTACTGTTTGGAAACTGTTTTAGTTATATTGCTATCTTCTGCATTATTAACTTGATTACTACTAGCAACTTTTGTATTAACTGTCATAGTTTCATTCAAGTTCTTTGAAAGTTTGGGATCATCTTCTTTTCTCCAATTGACGTTTGGCCTTCTCCAGTTAATACTTCTTTTTATTTCTAAACTTGAGATGCATCCAAGGGCCATATTCCTTATGTTGATGGTTTCCAGTTTCATTAACCTCAGAATTTCCTCCAGTTGAAACAATCGTAGAAGCTTTAACCTTATCAACTTCAGCTAGAAGAATTGATCATTCATATTTTAAATGTCCAATCTTTACACAATAATAACAAAAAGAAGTAATCTATTCATACTCCACCTTTTGGAAGAATCTTTCACCCAAACCATCCACCCAAACACCCAAAGGTAATTTGGATTCCAAATTAATTCTAACACATACACGAGCAAATTCCCTCTTTCCCCATTTAAATGAGTTTCCATCTAAATACATAGGGATCCCAACTTTTAAATAAATTTTTGCAATGTTAACATCATCCCAACAATGTAATGGTAAGAGAGGTAGTCGAATCCAAACCGGTGCAGTTAAACCTTTTAATGATAAAGGTGAAAAATACAGAGACCATTTGTCCTTACCTATAATGTGACCACCAACATAATAAGGACCACCGCTAAGAACTTCTTCCATTACTTAAACTATCTTGAAAGAGCAAAGAATCCAATCCAATCCCATTATTGTTAAATGAAAGTTGCCAAATTTGCTCCATTTCCTTCAAAGCTCCAAACTAAACACCAAAAATGGGATATTTTTTCCCAGAACTTTTAAAACCAAGGATTTCTTTAATACCTAAGAAATAGCTATCTCTAATTATGTATTCAACTTAACATCAACTCCATCAGAAGACATCTCTATTGAATTCATATCAAAATTAATTTTAATATGTTGAGGTCTAGTCCAAGCATAGATAAAATCTTTATTTTGAATAGTATTTCTCTCAATCCATTTATCTACATTCACCTCATTCAATGAATCAGAGTTTAAGGAGCTCTGATTAGTGATTTCTGAATTCAAAAAGTTCTCAGTTAAATTCTGACTCACATAAACTTTATTATTCCCAAAAATTTATTAACTTTTAAAACCAAATTTGAAGAAGAAGTAGTGGCTTCATGTTCAAACATACCATTAGAAATCATCTTCTCACATTCCGGCTGTTGCATCTTAGTCAGATTAGACAATGCTACTGACTTCTTTTCATTTCCTTCTATCGGAGGTTCTTGATGAACAATAGGATGGAGTCCTTCTTTGATGATCAATGGTTTTTGAATTTTCTTATTCTCTCGATCAACTTCTTCACTAGTGAATCTTTTGTCTTTAGGACCAAAATAGCTTCCAGAAAAAGCTTATTTGTTTGACGGTGATGGAATGATGACACCAATTCTTCCAGAAATAGCAGACTTATTAGAAGTTGAATAGACGGTCGACAATACACTGAAAAGAGGTTGCCGGCTATCAACCACCATCATGACTAATGATTGACGAGAAAACTGCGCAACAGAATTTCAAAAAATAGAGTTTTTCTCTCTCTAGAAAATCCCAGAGTCTCCCTCTCTAGAAATGCACACTATTTATAATCCTTTATTTAGAGTGAATCTCAAGTATTTTTTATATATGTACATTTATTTTTATGTAATATCGAGATACATAAGGGGACACCAATCAAGTTAATTTCTTTGCCATAAATATTTTGTATACATTATTCAGTTAATATAAACCTTTTATGACTTATTCATGGATTTAATTAATAGAAATCTATTTAAATATAGGACTTAGATTATATTAACATACATGAGTTCTATCGAGCCAAGTTAGTGTTCAATGAGGACTAGGTTACTCTAATAGTCAACTATGTTTAATTTATTTATTTTTTTGATAATTTGGCCAGGTTATGTGGTTATTTGATTAAAATTAGCAAATGTAAGTAGTCTCATGATCAATTACATTATATGAACAAGTTATTAAACAAATGAGGAAGATATTGAAGTATTACGCCACTAACTTGTTCAATAAGAATAATTTGTGTTAAATGAATGAATGAGTCTACCCTAGGGATAGCCAAGAAAATCCTTTTGGAGAAAATTATAAATTAGTTGAGGATTATATAGTTTTCAATGATTAATAGATTTCTTTCTATGATCATATCTAAATGAAATTAGATTCTTAAGTCATTCTAAGATTAGATCCTATTCAATCAAGATTATGGGTGAATTTTAGTTTTTGGCTAGGTTAAACAAGGAATGAATTAAAAGATTTTTCTTAGAGGATTGACATTGATGTCAAGGAATGGTTTTGGAAAATTCTAGGACAAATTTAAATGTTTCAGCTCAAGTTCTTTTTATATGATAAGAATTGTGATGTGTGATCCACCAAATTTCATAGTTCAAGATACGATCAATTTGAATTTCTTTTTAGGATTAAAAATGAAACTAATCATACTATATAATATGGATTAGATTATCAGATTAACATTAATTCAAGTTGTTAAACCATCTAATTAATAATATTAGTAAGTCTAATTTAAATAGGTTGAACATGATGATATGAGTTGTATTGTGTGATGTATTTCTTTAATTAATCTAACTAAACATCTAGAATTATAGGCTAATGAGTTACAATTGAAGTTAAATTGATTATACTATACAATATAGATCATTCAATGTGATATACTAAAACATTATTTTTTTTTCAAACATAACTTATTATAACTATGTGTAATAGTAAAGAAAGAGTGAAAAAAAAGGAGATAAAATTTTTATTAGTGATTTTTTTTTTTTCATTATTTGAAAAGTCCTAGGTTAGATTTTTTAAGCTTGTGCATTTATGTTGTCTTCTTTTTTTGTATATCTTATATTCTCTAGATTACTTATTGTGGTTTTTGTAAGATATTTTGACATTATTATAATGGATCCATGAGATCTCAAAGATTCTTGAATTTAGATTTGTTGGTTAGTTTGGTGGACAAAAATAATAATTTCTTCATGGAGAAAAAATTTGAACTATAGGGTCTCTTTATTACTCGTCAAGAAGAGGGGCTTTTTCTACCCATTGGTGATTCAAAGAAAGTGTGGTGAAATCTCAAGAAGGACTTAGGGTATGGAAATTAGCATTAATATTGAAAGATGGTAAAAATTAGGTTACTTATATCTTGCCCTTCTTTTCACTACATGCTATAGTTAATTATCTTTGTATAACATGAAAATGAATATCTCATTTAATCTCTAATAGGTAAAATATTGTAACATTAAAGTTACATTATGCTTCATGGTGTATGCATGTTGTTAAACAAACTATTTAGATTCATTTATAATTGCTTATTAGTTGCTCCCATGATTTTAGAAGTATTTTAATATGTTATAACTTCTTATTCGTATTGAACAAGGAAAAATTTAACCATTCATTATTTTTTCAATTTAAAAAGTAATACTTCCCTACCAAAATTTTACTTTCTTAGGTTTTAAGTTAATGTCCAATTTGCCCCCCCCCCCCCCCCC